ACATCAATATTTGAACACTTTTCACGCATAAGAATTAAATCTAATTACTTATGCAAGATTATCTGCCCACGAAGTCCAAGTGTAATTATGCGCGCTGGGCCTTCCCCTTGGATCTCTTATTAAAGGCCATACCCTTTCTTTAGTTCTCTTCAACTCAATCTGTAGGCGAGATAACAAATTTCTCACTATATCAGGATGAGTACTTGATAAATCTCGTTTCTCACAAGGATCTTCTTTGATGTTATATAAACAGACTTTATCTGAAAAACAAAATAAGCAAAATTTTGAGATTGTGCAATTTTTGAAATACAGTAACCGACTAATTGTATATATATCTGTGTCCTTTTTTATTCGAATCAAAGTGCTTATTAAGAAGATTTAAACATATGTGAGTACGATAACGACAAAAGAAAACATTACAAGATAGCCGCAAAGACTTGCGATAGTTCAGTCTTAAATCCGCGCATTTAAGTAAGTATTTATTAGGTAAGCGCTATACGAGGTATCTGTACACAAAGGCAAATTATATATTATAACAACTAAAGAATAAAAATTGAGCTACAATAGGCCAGATTGTTCCAATCATTGTATAAAAGGAAATATCAATAAATACAAAAATGTATACATAAATAATAAAATAATAGCGTTGTATAATCGACCAAGCAAGCAAGCGAGTAATATAAACAGCAAATATAGGTCGTATAAAATTTTGCCCTTACCATTATCAGGAATGCACAACGGCATATTGTATTCTGTATTTTTACATTTAACACGAATATCATTCCTCAAATTTATATCGTTCATATCGAATTTAATTCCAGTGCTATATAAAATAGAATGCATTTTACATGTTTTAATCGCATCGACGTAAGACGGTCCTTTTCCAATTATCCCTCTAACGTCACCACCTTTATAATCATATTCCTCTACAACCCCTGTTATCAATTTAAAATCACCAATAATCGCTGATTTAAAGACCGCGTGGTTGTCATCGTAGATATCAAATATTTCGTTTCGGATGGAGTCTTCATTGTTGAGTATAGAGTTCCATTGATCAATACCATCGATTTCAGTAGGTGGATCTAATCCAGCAGCTGTTAAAATGGTTGGTAACCAATCAACAGCATGTACAAACCCTTTCAATAGATGATTTGTTGTGTTGACGAGAGGTGACCAGACGAGTCCCACAACTCTTTGACCACCTTCGAATGGAGAGAATTTCGTTCCTCTTAAAGGCCAATTAGATGCAAAATTAGGATATTTTTTCTGATATGCTCCACCATTATCAGATAAAAAAAGAATTATCGTGTTATTGAGCATTTGTTTATCTGATAATGATTCTATGATGTCACCGACACTGTCGTCTAATTTCTTGACCATTGCTGAAACCATTATGCTGTTTTTAAATTGTGTATCCATTTGTACACACAACGAAATAATTAACGACGTCATTGTATACAAAAACAATATTGAAATAAGTATTAATGTGAGCAAATAACTAAACGTAATACACGTGGCAACAAAGTTATCTATTTTCTGCTGAGATATTATTAAACCGTTAGTCATACCGTGGTCTGTGGTCATACCTGAAAAAATTCTCCTCTCTTGTGATTCGACGTGTCGCATGGACCGCACAGTCGCCGGGGGTGCCTGCAGCAAAGCGCCATTATTGCCCGCGTGTGGAGCGTTGTGTGACACCATAAGGAATAATGGTTTCGATTTGTCGTGATTCTTTACAACTGCATTATAAAATACTTTATTAGTTAAGTCAATGTAATTTATTTTATAAAAATAATATTTAAACTAATTTAGAAAGTATAATTTTTTAATGTGACAAGGTAAATACTCACTAACCATTTACAGCTTCTTTTGTATAGATATCGGTAATGTACCCTTCAACATCCCAAGCTGCTGACGTGTTTCTGAATAGATCTAAACCAGATACAGGCCCTGTACGCCACTGAAATCAATATTACTTGTTTACGATGTTAACTTAACGGCATTGATCCATTGACCTAATTGATCGTACATAAAAATGGAAGTAAATTAATTTGCTACTCCGCGAACCCAGTGGAAGTTAAATCGTACAAAATAACTACGCTTTCTTTATTTATTTAATCATTTTATTGCACAGGAAAACACAAATCACATTATGTAATAAAATAAATAACATAAGCGTAACTACAGTCACAGTAAAACATAGCGTCATTTGGGGCAAGTGTGTGCACTTTTGTAATTGAGAGCTTACTGCACATAAAATATAAGACTTAAATAGAAAGGAACATTATAGAACATAAAGGTGAAAAGGTTTGTGACCCTAACTAGCCGTGAACAGGTTCACGGCAATGAAACGGGGAACTTCCGGTCCACAAAATTTATTAAAGAAGTAAAGTTTAAAGAAAGGGCTGTAACAATAAAAAGGTAAATGTAAAAAAACAGGTACAACAGTATAAAACACTCCCTACACTTTATTATTAAGGCACTTACCCCTAAATGGGCCGAGTAACTGAATTACAGATATAGGTATATGAAGGCTGTAGACTGTTATAAATTATTACACATGATTTAGCTTATTAAATGATTATAAACGTAGTAAAGAACCAGAACCAGAACCAGAAGAAAGTGACCGTGGTACGAAAACAAAATGAGAAAGTGAAGGAAGATGGAACAATTCAAATTTAAAATTTAAATACATTTAAAATAAGAAATAATAGGATACTAGCGGAGAGAGGCGATACAAAGAGGTGAGATGACGGTGAAAGAAGGTCACACCGTCACAAAGGTATGACTATCGAATAAAGCATTTATTAGGCTCTAAATTGAAATAAAAAAACTTCAAACACGCGTTTTTTCCTATTAACAAAAAACGAAAAATCGGATTGCGCTCTCTAGACCTGCATTGCGGGTCTAGAGAGCGCAATTGTGCGCAACCTTATGGGGTAAGTAGACGCCCGTAGGGTATGTTTACGCTTTGCTTGCTCATGGTCAAAATAAATATAATTGTACTAAAAAAAATATGATTTATTAAAAAACGTAGACATGTTTTTTATTATTAAATAATTAGTATTTGCATATCAGTCGAAATTGTCACTAAGATCAAGTCAATAATATCTTGAAATCTGTCCAAAGCAAACTTTCCCCAGAGCTCTGAATTGCAAATTAATAGTCGCAAAATATTAGGAGCCGAGTATAACCTTCAAGTTTTTCTAGAAATAAAACGTAAATCATAAACATAATTCAAGGAAAACAAAACTTACCTTTACCAGATGACAAATAAAGGCGCTACACTATTTTCTGACACCCAACAATCTAGGGACGTAAACAATAAAAACAGATTTTTGCTTTTAAAAGATTAACCGACGACCGCACGTCCAAGTATCAAATAGGAACTAATTACCCACTCAGCCGCTTTGGTTTTACTCAAACAAACCACCTACCCTCTTCCTCCATTCCAGAGATATAGATCCTGCGCACACTTACTCATTGCGCTCAGTTACTCCGAATGACTGTACCTGATACATGTTTCACCTCTCTACGAGGCAATTCTTCGACCGAGGTTCGAACAATTAACTACCCCTGAGAATTTAAAAGCCAACAAATAAACTCTCTTATATATTCATCTAAAAATATTAGACTACAACTCACAGTTTCTTCGCAAGTGTATTCGTAATAGTCTATAAATCCTCCTCTATGACCGAAGTAACTATCAAATCCACGATTATTAGGAAAGTATTCCGAACGAGAATGTCCGAGATGCCATTTGCCTATTAAGTGTGTCGCATAGCCCAATGTTTTTAAATATTGAGGCAAAATTTTCTCGTTTATAGGCAGGCCTCTATCTTCAGCATTTGTTAAGGGGTAGCCATGCATGCCTGAAATCATCAAGTGAATTGGGTCATTTCTATTGCAAATAATAAATTTCAAAAAAGATTATCTACATTGTTGCATTACAATCAGAACACATTAACGGGAAGACCAATCTAAAAAACGTTTGTTGCGACCACGATTTGTGGTCGGTCGTAACTCGTGAGTACCTACAAGTGTAATCCAGTGTTGTTGATTTTCTCTTTAGGAATTACTCAAGGACTGCACCTACCCATAGTGTAAGCATATTTTCCCGTAAGAAGGGCGGCACGGGATGGTGTACAGACGCTGTGGCTATAGAACCTCTCAAGAGCCACCCCGGTGTATGCCAATAAGTCGATGTTAGGTGTCAACACTTGTTCTGAGCCGTGAAAACTTACGTCGTCCCAACCCTGGAGTAAAACAGTTCTTTGTTCAGGTGTTAAGCATTTTTAAATAATTCAGTTTTAACTAGTTAAACCAGCCTTTCCCAAAGTGGGCGATAACGGCCCCTTGTGGGCGCTGCAGGCCTAAAGGGGGGCGGTAAGAGACCCAGAAAAAAAAATGGGGGCGTTTTGTAGAGGGGGAGATTTGTAATTTCATCTAGGAAGACTCTTATGGTCGTATTCCAGAACTCTACTCAATGCTCAAGTCAGGACTAGAGCAGACTTGAGTATGATTTCAAGTACTGGAAATACGGCCCTAATGGCAAAGACTTGAGTATGATTTTCAGTGCTTTAAATCATACTCTAGTCCTGACTTGAGCATTGAGTAGAGTTCTGGAATACGACCCTTAGACACCGACTGAGCTTTCGACTCTCGACTACAACTTGTGAACATCAACTAATGCTATTAAGAGATTGCTCAAACTAACTCGGTTCGATATTTCTCTCCGTGTAGTTCATATATCTGTCCTGTTTTATTGAATAAATAAAATAAAAATCATGTCAATCGGTCGCTCCGTTTCGAAATGAAAGCAGACACAAAGAAACAAATATAAAGGGAACAGACACAGTTTCGCATTTTAATAGTTATTAGTATTCCTAGATAAGTAATTTTCGTAGATAATAGACCGCGGGCAATAATATTTTAACAAGGTTTTGTTAAATAACTCGATTTGTGCACTCCTGTATCAATCGGCTGGTTCATAGAAAACTTGTTCTTACTTGTCGAGTACGATTGAGCGTCGAATGAGATAAACGAGTTTAAGCATGTTTGTCTTAATCCTTTCGGTGCGTGCTGCTTATGCAATCCTATATAAACAATGTAATATTTATTTTATTTTCATTTGCGGTTTCGCGCGTAATAGATAAGCAGTACTTAAGTTCAACACTTCCTTACGTATTTCTCAAAACAAAACAATGTCGGAAGTAAAAAAGAAGAGACGGCAATACCGTGCGGATTATATTAAATTTGGATTCATTGAAAATCCCACAAACCCATCGTCACCTTTGTGCCTTCTTTGTCTAAAAACATTTTCGAAAGAAGCAATGACGCCTTCAAAACTGCAAGATCATTTGAATAAAATCCATCCAGATAAGAAAGACGAGAATGTAGTATATTTTCAAGATCTAGAGAAGAAGCATAATACTCAGCCAAGTGTAGCAAAACTCTTTTCGGCGGCTGCTAAGCAAGATGACGACGGACTTCGAGCGTCGTACAATATCTCCTTGTTAATTGCTCAAAAAGGCAAACTACACAACATCGGAGAAGAGTTAACTTTGCCAGCAATAAAGGAAGTAATAACTACTGTGCTTCATAAACTGACCGCAGATATTATCCGAAAAATTCCTTTGAGTAATAATTCTGTGCAAAGACGAATTGATGAAATGGCTGAAAACATTGAAGAATCATTGTGCAATAATCTGAGGACTAGTCAATTCTCAATTCAGCTCGATAAGTCCACTTTACCAACTAATGAAGCATTGTTGCTGTCATACGTGAGGTTTATTAAAGATGAGAAAATATGTGAAGAAACTATTGTTTGCTAGAAATTTAGAAACCGTTAAAAATGGCGAAACCATGTTCAATACATTGGAAAAGTTTTGTGATGAGAAAGAGATTCCCTTGAAAAATATTATATCACTTGCTATGGATGGCGCTCCGGCTATGACAGGGTGCCATAAAGGCTTCATAGCGTACTTAAAAAATAAAATTCCAGTTGTCCTTGTTGTACATTGCATTACTCATAGACAACATTTGGTTGCTAGAAATTTAAGTGAACGACTAGTTCAATCACTGCAATACGTCATCAAAGCATTCAATAAAATCCATAACAGCTCTTTGAGTGATTTTTATTTCATCAGCTTTGTGTTACTAATGACGATAATTTCAACCGTTTGTTGTTTCATACTGAAGTTCGTAGGCTATCAAGAGGCGATTGTCTGACTCGATTTTACAACCTGCTTGACTCTGTGATAGAGTTCTTGGAAACTAAAGAAACAGCATTGCGCAACAAACTCATTACATCAAAGAATAATATAGCTTATATAGAATAATAACATGACAGACCTGTATAAATTGTTCAACGACATGAATCTCCAACTGCAAGGCGATGAACTAAATTTAATTAAAACAAAAAATGTCGTTGTTGCTTTCGTAGCCAAACTGCTTCTACACAAAAAGAATATAGGCAGACGTGAGTTTCACAATTTTCCGAATTTATCAGTATCCTGCAGTAACTACGACTTGTTTGCCTATTGCCAACATTTGGAAAACCACCACATTGACTTCACCGAACGATATCAGGACATTTTGAACTTGGAAATACCTGACTGGGTGTTGGATCCGTTTTCAAATTTCAACACAGCAATATCATCTCAGCTGGAAGAACTTATACAATTGACAACGAACGAGGAAATAAAAATCAAGTTCAAAAATGACTACCAAGAATTTTGGCTACAAAAACCGATCCCGCAATTGTACCCGGGATTGAGGTCAATCGTTCAACGACTCTTGATAGCATTCCCATCGTCATATTTGTGTGAACGTGGTTTTAGTGCTGTGACAACGCTGCTTACTAAAAAGAGAAATCGTTTGCACGTTACCGAACGTGGTGACTAGCAGCTGTTCTTGAGTAAATTGGGTTCTGATATCAACAAACTTATGAAACAGCATCAGATTCATCCTTCACATTAGTTTTTATATTAGAATCGATTATGTTTGTTTTATTTTGAATAAAAGATACTCTGTCTAAATACTATTAAGTTGCGTTTCAATCGTCATTCTCATTGGCAGGTGTAGCCCGTAAGAGTTAACTTGAGACCTGAGCGCCATTGTGTACTACCTACTGCGCCCAGGTCTCAAGTTAACTCTTGCGGGTTATAGTAAAAGTCTCGTTTAGAATGAATGTTTAATTTCCACTAATGTAGCTCACAATAATTAATTTAATTTGAAGCTATAGTGGTTTTTAAGTAGGTGAAAAAATGGGGCGCTAAAAATAATTTATTCTCAAAGTTGGCAGTACACTAAACAAGTTTGGGAACCCCTGAGTTAAATGTTTGCAAATAGCTATAGAGCAAAAAGATCCTGGAGCGCGGAATAGTCGTTGACCCGCAATAATGCGGGGAAAAATCCAAAATATTATGACAATGCTGCCGTGGCGAGAGCCTTGTTTTGAATAAAAGACTCTTGGAGCATACTGGCGCTGTACACGCGCCCGTGACCAAACGATAGGCAGACAGACATGAAGAAAACTATGAAGACACCTGCACAATATGACTACGGAACATCCAAAAATGTTATGGGGACTAAGGATGTACATTGAGATTATTATGCACATAGAGGTAACCTGAGGTAAACCATTCTATCATAAAAGTCGTCTATTTAGTTTTAGACTCTACCGAGGTACTCAACTTAAGTTTGTATATGTATACCTACATAGTTTATAAAAGACACTTACCAAATCGTCGGCGACTATAAACACAATGTTAGGCACCTCTGAAATTTTCTTACAAAAAACACTCACGTAGCTTATTATTGCTAATGAAAAAACTAAACCATACATGGATGCCATTCTGCAAAAAATCAATTTAAAGTTACAGAAACACGGCTTTCTATTTTTTTATATGCAGCAAAGATGTTTCAATAATTTATACGTTTTCTGTGTCACTTATAAAGACGTGTTAACATGTAAGCAGATGCTTTACAAATAAATGTAAATACGATATTATACACGTGCACTTCCTACACGAGACGCCGAGAGTAGGCGTGGTGTAAGTTAAATTTTTAGAATTTCTCGTTTTTTGCCTTCCGCAGCTCGCTAATGATGTATACTTTCAAACCCCCTTTCTCAGTATTCAAGAGATTATGGGAACAATATGAGTGCCTGCAATTATTGTATTTCACAATGCTTTTGGCGTATGCTAGCTTATACCGGTCTAAAATATTGCAATTGAGAACCATTAAGACGCAACCCGCTTGAAAAATGCAATCAATCGAGTGATATTCAGTTTAGTAGCCTTTGTTTTGATGAAAACATTACCAACCTCTGTGACAAGCACAGAACTAGAACTAGAACTATGCCACATTTTGTCCATTGATTAACAGTTTAGAAAACATTACCTACATCATTTAGAAAAAGACCTATTTTAATGCAGCTTGACAAAGTCACTAACGTTAATATATTCATATTCCATCAAAATTTTTTTTCGAATATTAATCGAATATCTATTTTTGCAAAAATGAATTTACTTGCTCTCAGCGCCTCATGTTTAAATATACCTAAGTATAAATATTTTTTTGCTATTATGTAGTAGACATTTTGTACAATTTAAAATGTTCGGTACCTAAACATGAAGCTTGGTAGGGTACCGCAATATACTTGAAATAAAGATTAATATTGTCATTGCTCAAAACAAAACATTAATAAAAAATATAACCCACCTACATTGTGTCTAGTTTACAACAAAAATTACAACTAAACATTCACATTACATTACTTACATTATTTGTATGTATGTATTCATATTTATTTATTCATTGGCACAGCCACAGAGTGCGAATTTATATTGCTAACAAATAAATTACAGCTAATTAATATTGCTAACAACTACGCACAGGTTTATCATATTATTAAACACAGCTGTAACAAACCTACTTTATGTATTGGCAGTAACTAGCAGTAACTAGCATTTTTTACGAAATTGAGTTAAATACATAATCATTAACATCAAAACAAGACCTATATTTGGATCTAACTCAAAATTCCCATGGGAAGCCTGTAATACAGGAAGTGAAAATGCAGTAACTTAACACAGTAAATCTGTAGTAGTTAAATCTGAGAATACTGAGAGCGCAGTAAGGCTAACCAGGAGTTGAGTCCCCTCTTGGGAACAACTGCCCGGACCTCGGACTTTCCGCATATAGGGTGAAATTGTATTGGCGTCATACAAGGTGAAAAATAAATATTTCTTAGGAATAATTCGAAAAAAAAATATTTCGTAAGATTTTAAAAGTACGGGAAAACTTTGAAAATTATTTTTTTTTTTCAATTTTTAACAAATTTTTTTTTGTTCTTTTTTTTTTATTAAAAAAATATAGCAAATCATTTTATTTGAAGAATTCTTTCAACGAATAGAAGCTTTTAAAAATAAGAATTCTGTCAAAATACATGTCTAAATTTTTCTATATTATTTTCGACTCTATACATAGGGCGCACTATAAGTTTCCGGAACTGGCTACTTACATAAACAATATTTAAAAGTAATTACAACATTTGAAAATTGAACTCATTCGCTGTAAAATAAAGTTTGTTTCATCTGACTGTCACTTGTTTTCACATTGTGGCGTCATTTTAGAAATTAAATTATCAAAACAGACAGGTTTGTGATATTGGTATGTCACAAACCTGTCTGTTTTGATCATTTAATTTCTAAACAAAAATTTATTCTCATGGTTGAGATTCGGGCATCTTTAGGCATAGACATGAGTCAAATACGATCAATACTACACAAACATTTGGGTGTGGAAAAGCTGTGCTCTCGGTGGATCCCACACAATTTGACTGAGGCTCAAAAAACGGATCGCGTCATTTGGTGCAATGCCATGCTTACAAGATTCAACGAAGGGGCGTAAAATTTGGTGTGGGACATAGTAACATGGTGACGCGACATGGATTTACAGTTACGATTGCAAACCAAAGCAGCAATCGAGCGTATGGGTCTTTCGAGATGAGCCGAAACCAACCAAAGTGGCGCGCGTGCAAAGTGCCTCTAAGTGGATGATTGCTTCTTTTTTAATAAAACTGGACACGTGGCTACTGTTGCTTTGGAGAATCGTTGTACTCTGAATAGTGATTGGTACACGACCATTTGTTTGCTGAAAGTTATTGACAAACTCCGTAAAAATAGCCGTAAACGCCGTATCATCTTGCTCCACGATAATGCCAGTTCTCACACGGCCAGACTGACAAATTAATTTTTGAAGGGGAGCAACGTTCACCTTATGAGCCATCACGCGCACAGTCCCGACCTGGCACCTTGTGACTTTTATTTACTTCTAAAAATTAAGAACCAGTTACGCGGTCAACGATTTTCGCTGCTATCGAAGAGTATGAAAAATATGTTTCAGAGATTGTCACGGGGGAGTGGCATAAATGTTTTCAAAATTGGTTCATTCGTATGAAAAAGTGCATTAACGCCAACGGAGAATATTTTGAGCAACAATAAATTCATTTCCGACCATTTATAGTATTTTTTTCTTATTCATTCCAGAAACTTTCAGTGCGCCTCACGTATATTCTGGTATTTTATTATATAATTTTATCGCCATTACGTAGGGACCAGAGCGAATTGAATTTACTCTGTTCACTTGTATACATTACTTATATCACATTAGATTTCATTTGTGTTTATCTATCTATCTATCATTTTTCTAATTCAAATACTAAAGGAAACATTTGATTAGAAACTAATAAGGACCCTTGTTATATTATTGGAATACTTATTTTCCTATTTAGATGGAATAAAATCTACTTTAAATTTTTATTAAATTGATATTCAATTATTTTTTGTGAAATTACTCCACTAGTTTGTTATAATAATTGATACAAAGATCGAACACTCAGAAAAAATTCCTTCGATCCGGCCGGATTCGAACCGACGTCTTCTAGCATACCGTGCCAGACGCTATACCAACTAAGCAACGGAACGAACCAGCGGACCTCACGAATTTTTCTATGTGCTTGTTGTCGTGTCTTTATATTGGGCTTAGTTGGTATAGCGTCTGGCACCGTATGCTAGAAGACGCCGGTTCGAATCCGGCCGGATCAAAAAAAAATTTTTTCTGAGTGTTCGATCTTTGTAATAATAATTATAATAAAATCTACTTCCTTACGATAAAGGTAACTTAAGGTAACTTCCATTCACTCGCGCATTCCATTCGCGCACTACGTTCACTCAAAAAACTCAGAACTCTTTTACACAAAACAATATATACATTATGTATCCGATACCGGATTGGGTACTATCTGTGAAGCGAGATAAACCACTATTAAAACATGTTTCTATTCTCTATATTCAGTTATTGAATATATCACACCAGATAACTGTTAGATAACAGAACTACAACCAACGCTAGTACCTGCACCATCACAATCAGTATGCTTACATTTAATTTTATCACTGCGTAACCTCATTCAATTCGACACAGAATACACTATCACATTATATAGGGTTATTTTTAAATTACTAACAACTTCGTAAGACTATATTACTAACAACATAAACTACAATTTTATATCCATAACTTTTAATATTCATCAGATTTTATTTTCTACAAAAATAAATAGATTTAATTAGATCGCCCTAAACGTAATAACTCTGTGCAGGAGGGGGGGGGTGCACTCGTTGCGTAAGACGCTCGCGCGTTTGAAGTATATTTCTGTGTCAAATTCACATTTTTTTTCATTTATTTATAACAAATTTATAAACAGAAATAGATCTTTGCATATGTATTATAAACTCGCATTTCATTCCTATTTCGTAAGCATACTTCCATAATCGAATACCAATGCTATAATAGTATGGCAATAGCGATCATTCACACGACTTTTATCCCGAACATAGAATTCGCAGCGACCAATCGCCGATTCCCTACAAAACTGTCGCAGTTCATCACGTGATTAACATAATAAAAGTCAATGATGTTACCATAGATATAGAAAAAAAGGACGTTACTCATATGTAACTTAAAAAATAAATGAAATTGAGGATATCACTCTGTGAATTTCAATGTTGTAAAGATCACATTTTTATTATTGTGATTAAGATTTATTCTATTTCTTATTATTGTAATGATATATTATATGTTTATTAAAAATAAATATTATATCACGTTAGCACAATAAACTACATTAAAATAAAACTGATCTTTAACACTCCGTTCATAATAACTACAAATACAGTTTCTTTAGCTTTAGAATTTCATAAACATAAAATAAATCAATTTCCCTTTTTTTTTCAAAATTATCCCTGTTTGTTTTTTACCCGCTTTTCACGCCAGTTACGCATAAGCTTTGGGCAATTTTCGTTTACATCTATTAAACTGTATTCCGTGTGAGAGTATGCTTACAATCGGCCGAGTTTCGGAAATATTCACGTTTTTATGTTGGTATTTTGTTTTATTACACTGGGTGTTGATTTGTTTTATTAATTTGCTTTATTATTTAGTTTTGTTTTATTAAACAAAGTTTTGGAATCAGCCACAGGACCGTCTACTGGTAAATCCAGTAAAAGTTGTCGTCATATTGACCACAACATCGACAAAACAGTAGACTGATTCATAATAAATGTAAGCGACGATTTTGCATAATATTTACACTATATTATTACGTTTGTTATTCATCCTTATTTAAAAAAATGAAGGAATCATCATTATGTTTCCTTACTATCAAATTATTCAAATGTTTACAACCCCTGAGGTTATTTGTGTGACAGTGTGCCCTCCTTTCACTGTCAACTTACCTCTTTGTATCACCTCTCTCCTTTCATCTTGTATCCTATATTTTTTTTATTTTACATGTATTTAAATTTTAAATTTGAATTGTTCCATCTTCCTTCACTTTCTCATTTTGTTTTCGTACCACGGTCACTCCCAGCTCGACCGCCACAACAGTCGGAGCTGTTCCAAATTCCATTTACTGAAATCTTATTTTTGATTCTTTACACATGTTATAATACAAAACATATAATACAACAGTCGGAGCAAAAGAATTATCAAAAATTTGCTCCAATAGTTTTTCGACAAAAAATGAAGCCATAAACCCGGATGTAATGGTGCCGCCATTGAAACCCTAGCTATTACACGAATATAAAGATTTATACAGACGCTTTCTGGCGCTTTCTGGCGCTTTTCACTGGCGCCCGAACTAATTCTCAAGAACCCTTTCATTGGCTGAACTTTAAAAAGAAAACCCCAAGCTAAAATAAGAAGAAAACGCAGTGAAATATTTTATTCATGAACTGTCAAAGTGCAAAAGTGTCATCACATAATTCATTTACACTGCAAATCACCTACATACCTCATATTACAGATAAGAGACGACTGCCGTTACATTCAGCTGGTTACAAATGTAACTGAACCCATAGTTGGTGTACCGGTAGCACTTCAAACACAATCCTATCAAACATAAAACTATCCAGAAACTCCTACAGTACACTTTCTTCATATCCCGATATCTACCCATGTGTAGATTCACAAGTCGTTGAAACTCGGAGTTTAAACCTTTGGTTATTCCAAGCGAAGACGATACTGACTTACAGCTTGTTTGGGAGAGTATCCCTGCAAGTCACTCCTCAACATTACAAACCACATAATTACATAAAAACATCTCATTGTAATATTTATAGTATTTCGTAAAATATTTTCTATTATCTTGTAATTTTATATTTGACATAATTCTTTTCAAATTTTATTCTTATTCAATTATAATTTTTGACATACTGTCAAATTTATTTTCTTCGTTTATTACTACCAAAATTTAATTTTAAAATATTTATTTCTAAAGAATAATACGAAAAAGATTTTCATCCTAACATAAATACTCATTTCTGAATTTCTTCACAATATGGAACAATTACATAAACCTGAAAGTATATACGAACTCAAAATTCGAAACGCAACTTTTGAAATCAACCAATGATGATGAGCTCCGAAATCTACTTTTATCTTTTCCAGACCAACATCCTGTAAATTACAACAGCCCTTATAGACTTGATCTTGATTTTCAAGAAATTAAAAATGTCACATCTTAATCTCTTCTCTACTTTTCTCTTACCCTATTAGAAAAAATTAAATAAAACCATATTTAACACACATCAAAAATAGACTATCCAGAATCGAAATTACATCTGAATCTCCTTTAGATATCCTCGAAACTTACAAAACCTTATGGGACGAACTTACTAATTTTGAAAACACATTTTTAAACCTTGAAAATCCTACTCCTCAATCAATATATCATTCAGCTGAATCTCTCCAACGTAACCCATCTCCCAACGCTAGCACATATTTTGAAACTTTAACACAAAAATTACTAACATTTTAGACAACCGCCTCGGTAATAATATTAAACGATTCACTTACAAAGGAAACGGCTGTCCTAGAGAATTTATCAAAAACCTCGAAGAATTCGCCATGACAAGAATTTTGACACATATTTATTTAATCGTGATTACGACATACTAACTGGTACAGGTTTAGATTGGTTTAGAACTAAAAAAGACACTATAACTGACTGGAATACCTTTAAGACCTACTTAATAAACGACTTTGAAATCACTGATTACGACTATAAATTAAAAATTATCGACCCACATAAACAAAAACCTAACGAACGTATAATTATATATTTTTCCAGTATGGAATCATTATTTCAAAACTACATGAACCATTATCCGAAAAACAAAAAATTGACATTCTCCGTAGAGTTATACTACCAGATTTCGGCAAACGTTTGAACCCTATTGACTTAAAATCTATAGAAGCATTACTCCAATCTTGTAAGTGGATCGAAACATGCAATGAAGTTAGCAGTAATAACAAAAATTTCCAATCAAAATCCAACACATCACAGTATTTTCCCTCCATACCACCATTCCCATTTAAATTCCATTCCCTATAAATGCAATATCATCGCAACCTCCTACTCGATTCACTTGTCCACGTTGTCGTAATAATAAACATAGCTTAACCGATTGTACAAACGTAGAAGTAGTATGCTTTCGTTGCGGCAAAAAAAAATACACTTTTGTTAAATGCCCCAATTGCCATAAAACTTCAAAAAACTAACAAGAGAACGTAGAGAATCTAATAAAACTTCTTGGACTAATTGGCTCAATACTATAAAAATTTTCTTCAAATCATATAGAATCTCTACGTTCCTACTTTCACATAACTCCGATTCAGAAGGCCCATACGTACAAATAAAAGTTAATCATTTAAATATAACAGGACTGTTAGATAGTGGAAGTGCTATCACAATCCTTGGAAATAATTTTCATTCACAATTATGTAAACACGGTTTCAAGTTAGAAACCATTCGTACAATTCATGGTACTGTCGCTAATGGACAAACCATCACCTCTATCGGTACAATTAAACTTCCTGTTTTATTTAAAGAATCATTCGCCTTAATAACAGCCCATGTTATACCTAGTATCACCGAACCATTCATATTAGGTGTAGACTTTTGGAAAACGTTTAAACTAGCACCCGACATTCTTTCCAACGTAACATTTCATAAAAAATCTCACAAACCAACATTCATAATCAGCACTGACGACTCTCACCTTCTTACTTATAACAATCTTACTAATCTCCAACGAAACACCACCGATGTTATTATACAAAATTTTAGGAATATATCCACCGAAATCCTCCCTTTAGGGAAAACACATTTAGTTGAACATCAAGTTGATACTGGCGACCATGCTCCCATTCGACAACTATGCTATCGTTTATTCCCTGATAACAAAAAGCACTCCGAATTGAAGTAGATAAAATGTTGGAACTAGATGTCATAGAACCATGTGAAAGTCCATGGCTTAATCCTTATAATTATTATTAATTATAATCACACCTAAAAAAGACGGCACCTGGCGCTTCTGCGTTGATAGTAGAAAATTAAATGACATTACTAAAAAAGACGCTTACAAATTACCTTTCATATCAGATATTATTGACCACCTTAAAGACTCAAAATTTCTTTCTTCCATCGATATCGCAAAAGTATTTTAGGAAATTCCCCTTCGCAAAGAAGACCGACCCAAAACTGCGTTTCATGGACCCGGCCGTGGCACCTATCAATTCAAAGTCACGCCATTCGGTCTAACCAATGCCCCGGCAACACAACAACGTTTCATAGATAACCTCTTATCGCACGAATTCGACAACTCTGTTTTTTGCTATCTGGACGATATCGTCATTGCCACAAAAATCTTTAATGAACACGTCCTTCTTTTGAACACCATTCACAAAAAACTCAATCAGGCAAACATAACAGTAAATTTTCCCAAATGTTCATTTTTCCGAAAGGAACTAAAATACCTTGGTTATATTATTGACGAACAAGGTCTACATACAGATCCGGACAAAGTTAAAACTATTAAGGAAGTTAAAAAATTCTTAGGTATAGCCAGTTGGTATAGACGCTTCGTACCTAATTTAAGTACTATGGCAGCTCCCTTGACCAAACTTACGTCTACTAGTAAAAAAGCTCCACCCTTTAAATGGATCCCTGAACCTGAAAAAGCTTTCAATTCAATTAAACAAACGATATATCGCGCCCGCTGTTCCTGCATTTAACTCACAACGCACCG